AAAAGTTGTATGACCTTGGGGCCCATTTTCGTTCATAGATATGAGTGTTAATTGCGAAAATCTCATGTTATGATCGCCAAATCTTTCCAACTTAGGTTCGCTCTATTGGCTCGTAGAGGGGTTTTCGACCGGATGCAAAGCCTTGCACTCTTTTTGTATGCTGACGAGGGATGCATTTATTTTTTGCAGCCTCCTAGGAACATACAACCCAGATAGGATCGTTTCTTATTGGCATAGGAAGCGATTTCTGCCATTTTTTAAATGCGTAAAAATGCATGTTTTTACACTTTTCTCTTTTACACTTTATTTTACGTTCATATGTTTCGGTCATTTTTATCAAAAAAGTAAGAGTTTTCCAACAATATGTTTATTTATGAGCAATCTATGACAATTTTCAGGCTGTTATGCGCTGGCTGGAGTGGTAAATCCCCCAAAATTCTGTTCTAAATCCATCCGCTAAAACCATCCCTCTCGAAGAGTTTCGAAAAATAGACTCTGTTCGTTTCCTTTAGCCCTCCATCGGCGAATTCCTGATTTCGCTACTGGTTGTCACCAGAATAGATCAACTATATTCAGTAGAGGCATGAAATGTACCTTGAATTTCCTTCACCTGAAATATTCGTACTGAGTAAAAAAAAGTATGATTTTGCATATTTTCCCATTTTCGTCCATATTTCATGCATATTTTACAATTTTTAAGCGCATATGCATGTGCATATTTTAGGGCTTATTAGCTTATAAAAAATCCGCTTTCTAATGACATTAGCCAAGAAGTCACTTCTCAAAATAACAGTCTGACTTTTTTAGGGTGTGGAGAGGAATTGGGAAATGTGGGAAAATGGACCCAACAGGCAGAAACCGTGATCGCAGAGGCATCTATTGTGGTGTAGAAATGTGCAATTCCCCGTTTAACGAAGGCGAGAGGGGAAGAATGGGAGGGGGGAATTTGTGTGCTTTCGAGCAGCACCTCCTCCAAATATCTCACATAAAATAATCTCTGTGGGCTGTTGGATGTCTTTCATAGGATTAAATCTGCATTCACTTTACCTGGTTAATCACTGTTGAAACACCCGGCAAGTACATATCCACTCAAGAACCGAACCTATATTGGGTTAGTTGTCTGAGTAGACGTTGAGGACAAGAGGTCCTCGGTGTATGATCTGCAAAACTGTAAAAATAGTTCATGAAGAAATTTCATAGAGAAATGACTTCAGTTTATTGGCACTAGCACACCATCAGCCAGATATAGCGCTATTAATTATATTTAAAATTGTCATACAGCATACGTGTCATACGTCCTTCGCCGAAACAAACTTTCTCATAGAATACATTGCTGGTGTCCTTTAGAGCGAATTTAATGCACTCACGTCATAACTTAGCGTCCTTGCCTCAAAAAGTAACGTACGCTCCATTGAAAGACATTGGGGAGGTTCTGGTCGGTTTCGCTTTGTATGGCTGACAGGGCGGGCATCGATCCGCGAGACTCCTTGCTTTCCCATTCACAGCAATGGATCGTCCTTTGAGTTTTGCCGATGGTGAGTTAAGTTTTGACTCCAGGTACGTTCGAAATTGATTGTAGGACATTGAATCTCGACAGCAGTACCCACAGTTTTGACACGGGTACGTTAAGTTTTGAAAGTATGACATCATCACATTATCGCCTTTCCGTATTCAGAGGAATTATTTTCCCGGTCTGCTTCTTGGCTGTCCATAGACGTTCCTAACCCCGTACGTTAGAATATTGAAGAACGTACTTTGATTTTGACAAAGGGATGCCCTTTTGACTGCCGGACACATAGATATGAGAAAAGAGCGCAGCGTTTTGCGGATCGTATGTTAAGTTTTGAAAAATGTCCATTGAGATATGAAATAGGGCTTTAGCAATTGGGAAAAACTGTAATGCTTCTATTTTGTTGTAATGTGGGGGGCATGTGTGTGCTGTACCGTGCTGTCCCCCCCCCCCCAACGCTATGCCACTCCCTGTCAGGGCCTTTTCTAGACATATTGGCACCCCGGGCTAGGAGTTCCAATGGTGCCCTCCCTCCTCAATAACAACTGGGATGTGGAGCACCATCGCAACTCTGGCGATTAGGGCCTTATCACCAGAAACTGACAGGGAGCCAGAACTGATGGAAATAATTTTGTTACATTTGTAAATAATCAAAGCCAAGTCAAGGCATTTTCTTCCATGCTAACCATATGAAAATATATTTGTTTTTATTATATTATTTCTTTGTGCAGCATAATTGAGTTCTTGGAGTAATTGACTGTGGTCTATGAACAAATAAAAATGAATTGATTGTAAGTTATGTATGGTGACTTGCATATGAATGATTATGCAGTATTAGAGGGATTATGAACCCTTTTTGGATACAGGCATATTTCAGGTAATTCACCATATATATGGCATATGTGGGCAGTATATGGTGCATTTGTATGAGCCCATATATGAAAATGTATGGGGTAATATATTTTCATTCTTATATGATTTTATGTGACTTGTGTCAAACCCCATATGGTCATATATACCCAATATATGTCAGACTGGCTTAACATATGGTCATTTCATATAAGGTTTTGTATGAAATTTTCACCTGGATCAATACCATCTTTGGTAACTTTTTCATGGTATGAAAAGAGATGGTAAGATTATAAATGTAGCATTGGTCAACAACGATAAAACTCCTTTTGCAGAGCACAATAAGTAATACCACATAGGAAAAGAATGATGTGGTTTTTTTTGTGACTATGTATAGGTTCAGGAGAGAGACCAAAGTGCTGGATTTATTTTCATAAAGTTTTTTAATATGAGATCTTTCATAAAGTGATTCTTCATGCACCATGTGTCTCTGGCCACTCTCTTCCCTGCAGGAGAGAGAGGCTGCTGAGTTGAAATCTGGGTTGAAGGAGAAAGTGTTTTTGCCCAATTTATTGTGAAAATTTGAAAAGGAAATTAACAGTGTGTGGAGGGGTGACCCCTTTACCTAGGCTACTTATCCCACATAAGGGTATTAAGGCATTCTCTGCATTATGGTGACAGCAGTAAAAGTTGTGGAAAAAGGGCCTATTGATTACCTTTCTCATTCAAGTTGTTGAAATGAATTTTTCAGAGGGCATGTGGGCGAATCATTGGTCGTGGCGGTGAAACCATTCGGGACATCAGGAAACAATGTAGAGCTGATATCTCTATCCAGAAAGATGACAAGCAAGGTGATGTTGTCAATAATATTGATTCTGGAATGTGATTACCAGAGCAAGGAAGCTTTGGGTGCAATTGTCTTGGCATCATTTTAGAGGAGTAGATTGATTAGAGATGGAAAAGTGAGCTTCATTGATGGAGATATAAAAAAGAGTTTATAAAAGTTTGAAGCAGAAGGTTGCTTCTATGAGAAAAATGGCCTGCAGTTTTGTTGCATGAGGTAGATGATGAAAGTGATCGCTTGCCTTTTGCAAAGATGCAAGTGACTCAAGTGCAGATACAGGGGATAGGATGATTGTATGTCCTGGGCTCAGTGCTGTACAGGTTAGCTGCAGTATTACTTGATTGGTTAGAAGGCCCTTATAATAAGAACCAACTGCTGAAATTTCATTTTTGGTTTCAGTTGATTTTTTGTGCAAACTTATCAATTTACATTGTGATTCCTCACACACATTGAACCTAAAATGGGACCGAAGCAACAATCTGAAGTTGGTCAGTCAGGCTCTATACTTTGTTATTCCAATGAAATTATTCTTCTGTACTATGTGGAATTGTCAGAAAAGAGAATGGTTGAGTATTATGCTGTTGCTTGCAATTTCTTTACAGATGGTCACACAGAGATTTTACTGCGAGGTACCCTAGAGCAGATAGCCATGGCCAAGGATTTGATACGAGAAAAAGTAGAAGAAGCAGAAGCCTTTTCAGAGAAAATTAGCAAGAAAAGTGATGAGAAGAACTTGGCATCTTCTGAGGAAGCACTTGGAATGCATCATGCCATTGAAGCTGCATCTTCTGCAGTGAGATATATTCTTTGATTCAGTACAGGGAGTTGCTGATCATCCCAAAATATGCATGCTTTGTGTTTTGGAGTTTGTATGGATAGGCAGAAGTGAGTAAGCTAGATTCTTTTCTGTTCTTCCTGTATGATTTAAGGATTGATTGCCTTTGAATGAAGAAATGATGTGACATTAAAATATTGAATATTAAAAAGGGAACTTCCATGTAAATGTTGTACTGAACTGTAGTATGATAGAAAGCAGTGGTAACAATTTTCAAGGAATTAGAAGGAAAGCAGCATTATTGTTGATGCTTGAAGATCTGTGACATGTATTCATTCCATTGTCAGTTTCATGATGTTCAGAGGCATAGTTTGGTTTGAAATATGTTTTTCTCATTTTTCCATTGTGAATGGTTCTTGTTTATTTTTTGTAGCGTGTGAGCTCAGAGACGGGAGAGACTGTGGAGTTGGTGCCAGCTGGAGGTGATGGATTCATGGGACTCCTTGTATCAGCTGTAGAGGATGCAGGTCATTTCTGGGTTCAGGTCCATGGCCCCAATGCAATTGCTCTTGAGAAACTTACTGATGATATGTGTGCTTTCTATGGTGATTCAGAGAATCAGCAGAAGTATACTTTGGATAAGGTTAGTTGTCACTGTGATATTTTCCCTGGTTTCATCTGGAAAGGATAAATCCCATCTAGGCAAGGTTTCATTTCAGCATTATCCCCAAGTCTATTTCTTGGACAGCTATGAGCTCTATGGTATATAACTTTCACCTAATTTATTTTGTTTACAATAATTCTGTACAACAACTAACATTGCTGACATTTTCCAACCTTTTGTGTAAGTGAAAATGATTGCACTTGTTATAGGCTCTGTTTTATGGAAGGCATATAAGTAGACAAGCTCTTGTAAGAGTGTCACCTTGAGTTGAGTGTGCTGCTGTGGGAAACCATCATTAACCAAAGCATCACATGATGTATTGCATGGTAGTACTTGAAATGTTTGCAGCATCCACTCTGCTAGGAATTATGATTTGTCAAAGATGCTTCATTGCACTAATCAGTCTCTGAACCACCTAGTTGCTAAAACTCAGTTCATATGGATGTGACCATGATCATTCTATCACTTTTACAAATTCTTTTTCCATTTATTTCCATCAGCATGGCAGACTGCCTGAACTGCATTAGGCAATGGTAACATGTTGGATTCTTTTTTGAAAACTACACTTGAAATAGCAACAATGAAACCTACTTCTTCATAGAAGGAGTCACCTAAGGACCACTTGCTTGTTAGCCACTACCCATCCACACTCATGATACAAATAGTGTGGAAGTTGCATGGATTAAATTATTACTGGAATTCCAAAACACTTTGATCTGAAAAGAGTATGAATCATTTGGACTCGTACCCCTAAAAGCTAGGAACTATACTCCTAGGCATAGGAGTAGCATATTTTGACCTAAGACTTTCAGTGACACTCTGGGTCATGCCCTCCCTAAGAAGCAATTCTTACTAGTACCTACATTTTTTTCATGTGACAGTAATGAGATGAGCTTTTCCTAGGTTGCATATTCATGGACATCTTTGTCAATTTGGAAAGTAATCCAGGTGCAGTCCTGTCATACCTATCAGTATTTCAGGCATTCTCCACTCAAGAGAAATCAGATTTAGCATCATAAATGATTCCATTGCTTAGGAACTGAAAAAAAAATTACTGTAACTGCTTAACAGGGATGGCAAAATTGATTTTTTTTTAAATAAAAAATTAGTTTTCTAACCCTGTAAGTACCAGAATCCAAATGGTCATATGTTTAACTCCTTGCTTCATCTCTTCACAAAGCATCTATAAAATACTTTGCCTAATTATTATTACATGTATTCATGAAAATACACAGAGTATTAGACTTCATAAGTTTATGGTTTGCAAATGGATACATTTCTGTATCTGGGTCCATTGGACCCAGAATGACAGTTGCAGGATTAAAGTTCAAGTTGAGTTTTTTAAGTTTAAATCAGATTTTTTATATTTATTGATTTTTTTAAATTATTGTACAGCTCTTTTTATTGCATCTTCAGTATCCATTTTCAGGTGGGCTATGGGACTTTGTTGAAAATGCATATGCATACATTGTGTATTAAAACAGACCCAATCTTACCATCTTCTGTATGCTCTGCTACAGTACCCTCCTGATTCTGCAACTTTTTTCTGCCTTCGGTTCAAACCCATCTCATTTTTGCTGTTAAAGACTTAGTCCCACCCATTTGCCAGTCAGGTTCTCCTGATCTCTCCTAGTCCCATAAGTGAAGAATGTTAACCCTCTCCCTGGCTGGTATATTGGAACATTTTGAGGATGTTGATGCCTGGGAAAGGGTTAATGATGATCATAGTAATTGGAAATGGAGTAGGAAAGATGCTAGTTAGACACAAAATTGGAATCTTTGCATGTGTGTTTGTGTGAGAGGGAGAAAGTTAATATTTTCAAAATTGGTAGAATTTATAATGTAGAAAAAACTTGCAGAATTCCTGAGGAATTGGGGAAGAGGGTGATGCTACTGATAACATCAGTTTTCTTTTCCCAGAAACCCCTTTGCTATTGGGCCATTGTTAAGTGTCTAACTCTGAAGCTATGCTGAAATTAAGTCTCCAAAGGAATATCAAACATCTTCTTGAGTATATTATTTTTGTATGCTGAATGGTATGCAAGCATCAGCCTGATGCATAATTTCTTTGGTTTACACATTAATTTTTGCATGAAATTCAAGCAAACATTCAGTGTTGGAAATTTGGGAACACTACATGGTATCATGTCAAATGCCTAACAATTTCACTCAAGGAATTTAAGGTGGTTGTTGGCTTCCACATGGGAGGGGATCAACAGGCCTCCTTGTGCTGATGACAATCTGAAGAGCCACATTTCCTATAATTCTCTATTGTTAATGTTGGCATGACTTTGAAGCATTGTTATTAGTTTTATCAATTTCCTAGCCCTCTTATCATTCCTTCATGCAGGTGACCATAGATGACTTGGTTGCAGCCAAGTTTATGGATGAGGACCGTTATTACCGCTGCAGAGTGACTGGGATTACTGAAAATGAGTACTCCCCACAAGAAAGCAGGTTGGACCTCATGTTTCTGGATTATGGGGACTCTTGTAGTGTGAAAAAGAATGAAGCCTTCTGCTTGGCTGTACATTTCCAAGAGCTTCAGTTCCAGGCAGTGGAGTGCTGTCTTGCAAAAGTCTCCCCAAGGTCAGTACTCTTATTCAGTTACATTCTAAGAAGGAATAGTCCAGTAATGCTTGCTCTACTGATGTATGGAAGCAGAAAGTGGTCAGAATCACCCTTGACACTCCTCTGGCTTCATTATTTCAAGCAAGTTTCAACAGATGCCCGTGAACATAAAAAAATTATCATTTTTTTGTACACACTTCCTAAAAATGTTGTCATTAAAGCAAAGTAGAGCAGTGAGTTTGTGCTGATTGGGAGGCAGATATTGGCTTTTCATGTCCATTACAGGGTCCTGAAGGGAGGGGTGGGTCTTTTTCACATGGGCATAAATGAGGTTCTCTATCATTTCTACTTGAAGGGACTTTATTCTTGCACGCATTCATTTCCATACCATTTTCTGTCATTCCTTGGCTTCTTCTTTAATGGCATTCCAAGAGTGGATCACATTTGCCCACTCATGCACTCATTTGATGCAAATCCACCTTGTTCTCATTGACCCAACAAGCTAATTTAAGTAAGTGATGAGCCAAAAAAGAAGTCAATTGAATACTATTGAAAAACCATTGGTAATAGATAAATGCAGTTTCATGCAATTGAAAGATAAGTTAATTTTTGCTTATCAGGAAAACAATGCAACTATCCCACCAATTAACTTCTGTTGAGGGTTCCCTTTTAAACATTGGCTTTTAGTAGTGTTTGAACCGACAACCACTACCAACAGTAATCACAGATGATGCTCTGGAAGAAAAAGTCAAGAATCTGAGGGCAAAAGCCTTTTGTTTCAAACATTTTAAATTCTCCTAACAATGGTAATGTTGGCCTGATGTTGAGTGGAAGGAGGTGGGGATACCTAAAGAAACGGAAAACCATGGGGGATACACACTATGAGGGATATGTGTGATAGCTACTTCTGCTCACTGAGAAAAGATGAGTCCAGCACCAGGTGTGTGCATGCATGATTGTCCCCATGAGAAATTTCCTGATAATCTGAGAAAAATGCCATATTAGGCCAAGTGAGCAAAAATGCACCCTCCATTTTTTCTATCTTAGTCGCCTCAGGATGGCCCCCACCCAAGACCCATGTGCATCTCCACCTCCATCCTGCCGTTGTTTCTATGCTCACTGCTCGCTTTTCCCAAATCCCATTAACATCAATTAATAAACATTCCCCTACCTGTGAACTGAGTGTCTCCTTTCCTCAGACAATCCAAAATCTTGTATCAGTATCATAATAGTTTTTGCATGTGTGCACTTTGTTGCTTTGACTAAGCCAGAATGGTGAAATCTCATTTTTGTTAGATAAAGGGGCCTTTAAGCAAAGAGTTCTTTTTCCCCCGTAGGAGTCCATGGTTCCTTAAAGGACAGCTAACTCAACTCTTTCACTCCCAAGCAGAATTGTATCCCATTAGAAAGAGCCAATATATTGGCACCTTGGGATTCTAAGGGTTATGGAGGTTTCAGCATTCAGGCCTCAATCTTTATATGGCCTAGTGGGGTGTGGATTAACTGCAGCTTTCCCAGACTGATACTTTCTGGTTTGGGCACTAGAGGAAATGCTATACCTACCTTAATTGTTCCTACTGTTGATGGTCTCTCCACACTTATTTCCCTCCTTTTCCAAAAGCCATGTAAGTTAGCCTACAATATGCACAATCAGTATGCCTTCCAGTTCCAGGGGATAACACTAGACTATGTGAGACATTCATAATGATTATCAGTTTATTGGTGCCAGTTATATTGGATCCCTCTTAATGAATATAGGTTTATCTGATATTGATTGAAATCTCTCATCAGTAACATCCCCACTTTTATAGACCTACTGCCAATGTGCCTTTTTCACTGGCTTCCTTATTTTGGGTTCACTGTGCATGTGCACACCCTCCTTCCCTCCTATACATACTCCCACTTTCTATTGTATTGTTCATACTAGTATTGAAAAGCCAGCTTTTTGTCTCTTGCATAAACAGTTCTAGTCTTTTTGAAGGCAAAGACATTTGGCATGTCATGCAATAGACTTGTATTTAATTTTGAATGAGACTTTTCATATAAGGTCATCCAGGGTAAGTGGAATCAGCATATCTTTTTTTGGTACTAAATAGTACAAAATACAATCAACTCAGTATGCATTAAAAAGTACTCTGACAATCCAATCCTTGCCCTGCATATCCAATCAAGTTTCATTGGTTCGACTTATGTTCTAAATATTTTTTACTGGGTCTCTGAGTGCTCTCTTTCAAGTCAAGCTCTTTATTCACAGTTTGCAAAAGCCTAAATTACCTATTCACCTACAGCTCCCTCATGCAGCAGTTGCTTTCAGTAAAAACCTGTTTTTTTTTTTGGAATGGATCTATAAGTGATCTGTAAATAGACCAAAATAAATCCCAAAACTATAAAATGCTTTTGATTTTTTTTCACTATTTTTGAGCAGAATGCCCCTCCCCCCCCAAATTTTGGGCAAATCCTCGAAGATTAACCTTTTCCACTCAAATGGGCGAGTATACTCACCCATTGGTACTTTGACTCTAGCACTCGTTTGGTGCAGTATAGTATACCACAGATTAAAAGTCTCTTCATTCACTTGGGTGGGTCACCTTGCTGCACCGGAAAAAATTACGTTTTTTCATTTTTTCGTTTTATGTGGTAAAAAATACAAGCTACTGGAAAAAACACATGGAAAAAAATTTGAGTGGAAAAGGTTAATATAGTCATCATGCAGTGAAATAAATTAGGTTCCTTATGCTTTTGCACACTGTCAGTGCTTTTCTATCAGCTTTCCCAGCAGGATCAGTAGTTCTTGGCAAAAAAAAAAAATAGTTGTATTCTGGTAAAGTGGATTCCATGGTCTTTTGAACTAGTCTTGAAGATCCCTTCATGCTGAATATGGGAATAGCAAGGCCACTTACTCTAACCCTATGGAATCAAACATTGGGGTAAAATCCATAAATACCCATATACAGGGTGTTTCACAAAATGTTTACCATTTTGAATTGCCATAACTTCTTTATTATAATGAACATTCACTTCGAATGAAAACTATATTGCAGAGAAACTCCAAAATTTTTGTTCTAGTGGAAAATAAGTTCAACATGAGCACCTCTAGCTGCAGAACAACCTCAAAGATGTCATGGGAAGTTTTGTACTGCTGCCTTCAGTACTTCCTGTGGAATGCCTTGAACTGCCCATTGATTCATTCCCTTGAGTTCTGCAATATCTGGCATGTCTTGGAGGGTTCATTCTTGCTATATCCCTACAGGTAAAAGTTGAGTGGACTGAGATCTGGGGATTGTGCCAACCACACGATGTCATCTCACTGAGAAATGAGCCACCAAGTGAATCTCTCTCTCAGCCACTCAAGACAAATGTGGGCAGTATGGCAGGTTGCCCCATCTTGCTGGAAAAAAGTCTCATTTGTAATGCACTTTTGGCCAGAAAAATGTCCATTTAAGTGATACTTGATATGCACAAGTGGAATATTTGTTTTTCCAGCAAGATGAAGCACCCTGCCATACTCCCTGCATTTGTCTTGAGTGGCTGAGAGAGAGACTTGTTTGGTGACTCATTTTTCACTGAGATGACATTGAGTGGCAGGCATGATCTCCAGATCTCAGTCCACTCAACTTTTACCTGTAGGGATACTGTGAGAATGAACCCTTCAGAACATGCCAGATATTGCAGAACTCAAGGGAATGATTCAATGGGCAGTTCAAGGCATTCTGCAGGAAGTACTTAAGGCAGCAGTACAAAACTTCTCTTGACGTCTTTGAGGCTGTTCTGCAGCTAGAGGTGCTCATGTTGAGCTTATTTTCCACTAAAAAAAAAAATTTGCAGTTTCTCTGTGATTTTGTTTTAGTTTGAATTAGGGATGGGTTATTGACCAGTCAATTAAAAACATGTCAATTGACTGGTCAATTGACCAGTCAATATGGTCAACTATGGTCAATTTTGATAAATAGGACCAACTTTTATTTATTTATTTATTTTCCTTCGTAGTTTTTACACCATTATATATGTCATGACTCACAAGTGATAGACTAGGGATGGGAAGTTGACTGGTCAACATGGTCATTTTAGACCATTTGCAGAAATCGGAAAACGTCAGCAGCTTTCCATGAGAAATTATTGTCTCTGGAACGGTCCCTCGGAGGAGGATGTGAGCTCCGCGAATCAATTTTCCATGCTGCCAGACACCTCAGATTCCGATTCCGATACCGAATGAAGTCCGCGAATCGACATAGCCACTCCCTGTTCATTGTTTTATAATTATTATATTTCTCCTGTTCTGACTGACTGCAGACAGTTTCCGCCTCAAATTAGCGACCAATGAGTTATACGTATGCTGAACAATTTTTTTCTCGAAAAAGAGAATTTTTTCCCTCGAGTATAAGATGCACCCCGTCATCGAACACAATAAAATATGCAAAAAATGCGCCTTATACGCGAGTAAATACGGTATATTACTATAGGCCATCAGACTGGTCTTGAAAATATATTCACTGTATCGAAAATTTTCATTGTACTAAGATTTGACTGTAGTCCCATATCTAGGGGCTGGCTATTCATATTGGACAGTATAGTATTTTCAAAGTTTCATATTGATTAGTTTCTCTTTGCCTTGAATAGCAATGAATTCTTAACCCTATGCATTGTAGAGGTGTTTTGAAACACATGTTTGGGTGTTTTGAGTGTCTGCCATGCAGTGGATGGCTCTGCTGCCCCTCCAGCGCATCACAGCATCACTGGTGCTGTCCAGGCTGCTTGCTGACTATGAGCTACACTTCATTGTTGCTTCAGCTGTTGTTGAGGGACGTCGTATTGCCAAAGCAAAGGAAACAAAAAAAGAAATTTTTTTTAAAATTTTGTGGAAGCAGAAAGTGTGAACCTGAAGGTAAGAAAAAATAGTGCGCTGTTGTTGTGTTTGTCTTATAGACTTATGGCAACTTTTAACATGTTTCCTTACGTGTTGGTTGGTAACAGGACGACGTTTCAGTGGTGTATTTGAAAACACAGAAAACACAGGTTTACTTCTGAACATACATGGAGTGTTTCCTCCTTTTTTTCCCTTACAATCACAGAAGTGTTGAGCAACACACACCTAGTTCAATCAGAAGCAGGCATGCATAAATCTGGGGGAAAATTCAGGCATTCCTTGGCAACAATTACATCATGTGAAACCTAAAATTGCTAAAATAAATCTTAAAAAATAATCCAGTGATGCATAGGGTTAAAAAGAAACCTCAGCCTGTGGTGCAACCAACTTCCTGAGGCTCTGGCACCATGACATGAATGACTCATACTCCTGGCAAGTTAACTGGCAGCATTTTTTAATACTTGGTGATTATATAGTTTTTGCAAGTTTTTTCAGCATACTGCCAATGAGTCTTCAGAAAGAATTAAAAAAATTGAGATATGGGCAGTGATAAATTTTCTTCACTCTGAAGGAACTGATCTCGCAGTAAAGGGTCAGTAGAAAGCTGTCCCCTCAGCTGGTCAATGATTTCTTTTAAGATTGAATGGGAAAGCCATATTGATTCAAAACTTTAACCCACCTTTTCTGTGCTTGTATCCACAAGTTGAAGTAATGGAACACGGTAAGGAGTGGGATGTAGGGGGGGGTGAGCTGGCAGTTGTGTATATCCCTGAATCTTTCCCATTACTACTTGCCATCTTGCACATTTCGAAAGTTCCTCAAATAAATCAGTGGCATCTTCACTCCAATGACCATCCCTGCAAAAAACAGCCAAATTGATCATACATGGTTGAATAACTTATACTAAGACATTCTCTCTTTTTTTTTTTCCATTCTACCTCATTTTTCGGGCAAGTCCACAAAGCTTTTCATTTCTGCAAAAATCTTTTTCACTCGGGTCAGTCCATACATTTCTTGAGAGTAAGACTAGTTTTCAAGATATCTCAATGCATCTGTGGTTTTCCCAGACATTGCAATACAACAGTACTCTGTGATGTGATGAATCTGTAAATGGATAAATACTGCACAAGTGATGATGGGACCCAACAGGGCCTAAAAAGTGACAGAAAAAAAAGACAAGGATGGTAACCAATTCGATGGCAAAAGTCACTCTGGAGAGGCAGGCTTTTATTTTCACTCCCCTATCCATCTGAACTTGCCTATCCATACCATGACCTCTCCCCACATAGGCTGTTGCATGGTGCAGAATATAGGTGCCTGGAAATGATAGTGCCCTATGGATGGTAGCATTAAAAAAATCTGAGTAACTATGGTTTCATTGTCATAGTTTAGATCTGAAAGAGTTTCTATATCTTTTCAATAAATGAAGGCTGGCATACTATTGGGTGATAGCCATAAAAGATGCTGGATTGACTGCATTTGTGCAATTAAATTTCCAATTAAGATGGAGAAAGGATATCAACAAGTGTGAAATAAACTTCAGAGGCAATTGACAAAAAAAATTTTGAAGAATCAAATGGAATTCTTCAAGAAACACTTGGACAAAGGAAGGAGTGTTCCACTGATGCTGCAAAAGAGATTCTGGAAAGAAGGGGAAAACATGCTAACTGAGAAGTTATTCAATTTTTTCCATCAGTGTGAAGGCTTGGTGGCATACCATGTAATCACCAAACTCAGAAGGATTAGACTGTACAATGTACAGCATTTCTGATGTGCCAATTTTTTGCATGATGGAGATAAAAATGATTTTCTCTATCTGGCTGCTAGTGATAAGTTCTTTGTTTATGTCCCCAGGAAACCCAACCATCAAAACAACAGAATCTGGATTGAAGTTCAGACAAGATTGAAGATGAAGACCAATCTTGGGAGATTTTCAAAATGCCACACTGGGTTGGTGTTTTTGTGCTTTTCATAGCAAAGCACTTCATGGATATAGTGAAGTCACATAAACAGAGCTGGTATTTCAGAGAACATACAGGGTGGACCATAAATATTCACAACAAGTCGAAGTCTCATATTTTCTGTACTAATAACTTCTCATGGAATCAATTGAATCTTAACAGGACACAAAGGCTCACAGTAACTATTCACAAAATATGTTCAATGTGTGTTCAATATGTTCTTCTTGATGGCAACCTGGAATCTTTGAGTCTGTCAGTCAATTGCACTGGACAGACATGTAGCTGGATTTCGTTTATGGGCACTTGCTTCCAGCAGACATCACATACAGTAACCCATTTGGTTACAGTCAGAGTAGTAGGGGGTCATTTGTATTCTTTGATCCTTTCTGCTTCATGGTCAGCCAGACAATTTTTTGAACCTCAAGCCATTTCTAGGCAGTGGATTCATGTTAAAGCAGTCAAGGCTGACCACCAAAGAGACACTCACATAGAGGTACAAAACATTTTTTTATTTGCTCTTTTTAGGCGTACATAAATGGAAAAGTTAAATGTGATATGAATACTTATGGCCCTCCCTGTATACTTTTTTGATGATTCCCTTTTTGAGCATTCCTGATAATCCCTGTTCATGATTGCTACCCCAGACTGGATTTAGCATGATCATGAACAGGGAAAGTTTTATCATCAAATGGTGCTGGAAACATGTGGTATCACTGAAGGGGTAAAAGTCATATTTTTGACTCATTAACAGCATTTCCTAAGCTACCAGAATTTTTTGTGGTAATATATATCTTTACCTGCTTTTTGAATGGATACATGATGAGAAATTGGAAAATACAGCTGAAGTAAATACTGTATAAAGAGCACTGGTTTGGTATGAAAGCAATCAACATGATTGACATAGGTAAGCTTACATATCTTTTCCCACAATTTTTAAGCATCTGAATACATAGAACAATTTGCATTTTTCTTGACATCTGCCTTTCCAATTATCACATTTACCCCCACCTCCCTGTGGACAGTGGGTACAAGGTGTTTCACAAAAATGTTTACCATTTTGAATTGCCATAACTTCTATATTATAATGAACATTCAATTCAAACTAGGGATGGGGCAGTCAATTGACCACCTTTTAATTGACCATTATTGACCACTAATTTTTTTAATTCAGTGAATTAAGATATTTTTATAGAGCTCATAACTGTGGTCATTTATCCCCCAGCACTAAAACCAAAGAGCCAGTTCAATTTTTAAGATTTGCTCATGCAGCCTGCCAAACACCTAGACTGTGGCTACCTGTTGTGTATGAAAACATTTTAGCAAATGCTCAAACTACCATTGACCTTTCACCTGAGTGATGCAGAGTGTGAGTGCAGGCTTAACTTGCTGTTCAAAGTTTTATAGCCTCAAGTACTTTCAAAGTTAAGGTTCAAGATCTAAGTAACAGCTTTAGAACTTTAGTTTTGTGCAAGGTCAATCATGGTCCTGGCTAATAGTCTGCATCAGAACATGAAATTATTCTCAAAGTCTGTGATCATGGGACAAGTACTTCGGCTATGCCTATGCCTATGCCTAAAAAAAAAATTAATTAGCTATGAAACATGATTCATTACTGTTTACCCTCAAGATTGCATGAGTTGGAACATTAAATTTTATCTTAGCAATGAGATGTTGACTGGTCAACATGGTCATTTATGATCATATAGTCATGAGGCCTAACCTCTTGTTGGGCTCATAACCATTATTTTCTGCAAATGGTCTAAAATGATGGCCTAACCTCTTGTTGGGCTCATAACCATTATTTTCTGCAAATGGTCTAATATGACCATGTTGACCAGTCAACTTCCCATCCCTAGTCTATCACTTGTGAGTCATGACATATACAGGGTGACCGGAAAGTTTGGAGACTTGTAATATTTTTTAGATTTTTTTCAAGTGTGAGGCTTCATTTTTTCCACGAGTCTAGCTATAGGCTAAATCTTTTTGCATCGCAAATATGACTCCTCCCGGTGCAGATATGGCATCGAAACCCAGCCGAGAAGCTGTGATTTACATGTTTCAGCAAGGTCATTCACCTGTAAAGATCATCAAGGAGCTGAAAATGCCACGATCCACCGTGTACAAAGCCATTGCCCACTACAAGGGACTTGGTACAACTCAGGATCAACCCAGAAGTGGCCATCCCAGTGTCTTCAAGGATCCTGCTCTTTGAAAGCATGTCAAACAGCTTCTTGATCGAAACCCGGAACGGAAGTGCCAAAGTCTTGCAAAGCACTTGAAGATCAAGTGCGAAACCCCTGCGCTCCTATCTTAGAAAGAAGTTGGGCATTTTCCCTTTCAAAAAAAGAGTATTTCAGGTGCTTATGAAGAAGAACAAGGAATTGCGGAAGCAAAAATCAAGGAAACTACTGGCGAGATTCAAGCGAAACTCACACCGTCGGATCGTGTTCTCAGATGAAAAAGTTTTTACAGTTCAGCAAGCGTTTAATCCCCAAAATGATCGTGTCTGGGCCAGAAAAGGGTCCAGAGTCTTGTCAGAATCTCGGTTTGTGCAAAGAATGCAAAAACCCCAGTCTGTCATGGTCTGGGGTGGCATTACAGCCGACGGTAAAACACCCTTGCATTTTGTGGCTCCTAACATCAAAATCAATGCCAATTACTATCAAAATGAAGTTCTGAAGAAGGTTCTCTATCCTTGGGCAAGGGATCATTTTGGGGATTCTTCTTGGACATTTCAACAAGACAATGCCCCAGCTCACACCAGCTGGTCAACAAAAGAGTGGTGCGTGCTCGAGTTGCCAGATTTTATTGGTCCAGAAGCTTGGTCCTCCTGATTTAAATCCAATGGACTATATAGTATCTGGTCCTTTTTGGAGGCAAAGGTCTGTGCTACTCAGCCGAAAAATTTGGACAGCCTCAAGTCAACTTTGCTGAAAGCATGGGATGAAATCCCTGTGAAACAGCTGCGAGAAACTGTGGACAATTTTCCAAAACGCTTCAGAAAGTTATTGCTGCCAATGGGGGCTATTTCGAAGATGTTTAACTCACTTTGAAGGATTTCTTATGTTCTTTCTTATGAAATAAAAAAAAAACATTTATTGTTCTTTATGGCATTGGGATATTGGTATTTTTGAGTGTCTCCAAACTTTCCGGTCACCCTGTATATATATATATATATATATTTGAGCAGAGGTTATTGCTGTTTGAAGAAAGGGGGTTGTTCTACAGTCACCCTGTAGTTAAGACTGCATAGCTTCATGATTCAGGAATAAATATTCAATTGTTAAGATTACAGTAGTTTTTGTAGCATTTATTGTAGCATAACAACTATTTAAATAAATTCATCTTAGGTTAATGTGATTAAAGAATACTGCTTATGTTCTGAATCTTGTAGTATGAGATGCATTCAAAAATTGGTTATCACTGAGCCACAGCTCCATAATTGCACAAACAGTACAAAGCTACCTAGTAAACATAATAGGCATTAGAAATTGTTTTTACTAGTTCTCCTATTGTAGATTTAAGTTAATAAAATGCACATGATCCACACTTGATCTATTTTTCTCAATTTTTTACAATTCTGAAATGAGAAAAAATATATCAGTATTTTACCAGGTAATTTTGACATACCTGTATTGCAATACTATGTGTTTTATTAGCTGTGTCTCTTCTACATCTGTATTAAATTTTAGCTTTGTTTCTAATGTTAGTAATTTAAAAAATGTTTGAAGTTCTGTTAATTGAAATGATTGGCTAATTTTTTTGCCCTTTGTGTTAGTCTGACCCTGATTTGGTCCTTTTGAGGTGGGAACCTTTCTTCATGCCTAAATGGAACTAGTCTTGGATACAGATGGTGTGTAGTTGTATGCAGGGTGTGTGGAAAGTGATGCCATATTGATAACTAGCCTTTAGGTGGTTTCACACTTAGCATCTCTTGGGTGTCATGCATGCATTGTAGCAATACTTGAAGCAAACTCATACTTTATGTGTTTGCATATGGTGCAGTTGTACCTGTGTCTCCATTGGAACTGATTGAACATCAGTACTTCTTGTCATATAGACATGATGGCATTAGGTGAACTTCCTCTTCTACTACTTCTCTTCTTTTTTCATAAGCATGCGTGCAGGCATCTCAGATTAAACTCATTACAATTCTGCACACATGCATCTGCCTACCTGCTCAAGCATTGATGTTTGCATCAATGCTTGAGCAGGGCGCTAGATATGCAAAGTGTGAAATGACATTTATTTTTTTAACTTCTTGAAAATCATTTTAGGATATAGTTGGTAAAAGGCCCCAGAAGATGGATAATTTCATCATACTTTTCCTTCTTTAAATTAATAGAAAAGTCATATTAGAAAAATGGTATGGAACATCCAATTGAAAAATAGATTAAAATCATAGAGAGCTTTCTTGATCCATTGTTATAGAAAAAAATAGTAATTTTCATTCCTGTGAAGAAGCACCTTCCAATAGCAGAATTGAGAAGTTAATAGAGAAATTCCACAAAACTGGTTCTGTGTGAAAAGCCTGGCCTTTTCTTCCAGATAGGGTCAATTGTTTTTAGAGTAGGCTGCAAGTTTATGCTTATAGGTTTACACTCTCTTTCTAGGAGCCAGATCTGCTATGCACAAGTTGTGCTTTAGGATGGGTCACCTGGTTGCATTCTTTTCCAGATCACATGGGCTATCAGGGAGAGGGATGCAGTCAATTGGAAATCTAATCCCCCTCCCCCCACTCATCTTCCTTGATTTTTTGGACTCTGAAACTCATAGACACCTGTGCTCCTGCTCTCTCTCCCCCCCCCCCCATGCACCTCCAAGGGTCAATCTGTTCTTTCAAAGACTTTTTGCAAAAATTCCATATGGTAGTCCCTGTGAAAGACCTCAGACAATGAAATGACATCATATCAGTTGTAATACATATTATGTAGACATCTCAGGGTTTTCTCATTTCCATGTGCATAATCAGGAAAAAAGAAACTATCTAATTTATCATATGCATTTCTTGTGAAGTGATGTACAGTTTCCTTACATGAAGTTCTGTATTCTCAGGGTTAGACTGCATTGCCTGAATACATTTGATGACTAAAAAAAAGCATGATAAAATTGCTATGTCCAGGTGGATTTGAATTCATTATATTTGATAATAACTAAAAATTTGATTGTAACTATATGTATAGTCTGTATCCTGAATCCTTGTGCAGTGGCATTGCCTGCTGACTGGAGGACCACATAAAAGGGATTAGCACTTGTCAACTGAGTTGATAGAAATGCTCCAAAAATGAATTTTAAGGAGAGGGATGTGAGGACAGATCATAAAACTCGGGCATTTTTAAACAAAACTTCCCTTCATCAACATTATTGCTCTCATTTGTCATGATCAGCAGTGACTCTCATCTTATGGACCTCATTACCCTTTGACTCTTTGAGAGTCTGCCACATGCACAAGGATTCAGGATATGGACTATAGCTGTAGTTGTGGAATTGAACAATAAACCAGAATCCATCAGTCACTGTTACTTTGACAGCAGGTGAAAGTAATTCATAAATTCATTTGTTGAAGGTATCCATAAATAGACATGAAGGATGAAAAGGCAATGCTTTCTAAAAGTTAGGCATACAGGTAAATTACATATTATATGTTGCCTGTAAATAATGCTATGAGTTTGCATGGTGTGTTTTGCCTTGAATTGTGAATGTCTCCTTACCAAGGAATATGCCATTTCTCTGTATCATATAGGAGAGCCAATCTTCACAATCTCCCTGATGTTTGAAATCATGGGCCTCTCTTTCCTTGTCCATTCCTTTGTAAGTTATGTTTCTTCCCTTCACATTCGGTACCTGTAGTTCCTTTGGTCTTCATTTGCTTTGTAACAGGAACTCTAACCAGATGCCACATATTTTCTGGGCTTGCCTGTTAGCAAACCAGACTTTTTTTCTTCTAAATTATTTATCCATGTATATATATGGACAATTGTAATGGGCAGCTGCATGAGAAGGACCTGGCTAAATTATTAAATTAGATGTGTTGCTAGGATAGAATTCATTCTTGTGAATCATGGTGATCTTGTATACAGGGTCAGATTCTAGATACTGTAAAGTGAGGTGACTTGAGCAGAACAAGGCAAATTGGCTATTCAAAGTCAATCTAATTCAAGATACTTGGAATCTGACCTTGGATATGAGATCACCATGATTCACTAGTGTGAATTTTACCTGAACAATTAATTTTTACTTGTGAGCACCAGCAAAAATTCATAATGTTGCAAGAAAGATTTTTTAAATCCCCATTAGGATTAATGGGACAAGTCAGCAACTGTTTTGTGTCACCATACCATACCAAATCATGCTACATTAACCATCTCCTGCATTAATTAAATGCAACTTTTCTGGTCACTGGCCCATTTATTTCAGCAGTCAAATTTTGTTATTCCAACTTAAAAATGTATATCTTTGAAACTACTGAGTGGAACTCCATGAGCAGTATAGAGCTGTAATGCGCTCTGAAAGTATGGATGCACTTTACTATGTAATGTGTGGGAGGCTGAAATGTATTTTACTATGCTCTAGTATGCTACATGCAGGAGAGGGTTAAGGTACCATAACAAGAGAAGTCTCAAATGTAATACTTTTCATCATCTCTCTTTCTAAGATTCGGAAATATTTTCCTGGCTGATGTATGCATTATAGCATGAACATATCCTCCTTATGTGTCTTTTAAAATCTTATTCATGTTGTTGAAGGTTCTTATCCATATGAAAAGTTCTGATATGATTTTGAATTTTGCAGTCATTTACCTTTGAAGCAAAGCATCTGGGAGAGTCTCCTGTGTATGTGGGTACAAGTAGTGAAGTAGTTCTTGTATTCAGTGACCATTCTATGGTCCCATTCTCTGAGGAAGGATGCGATATGCATGTTTGTATCTTTCTAAGTGGAGAATTGCCTGATTTATGCAAGACTGGAAAAATGAACCCAACTGGCATTATTTGTTTCCATGAGCATGAATTGCATATAGTATCATTCCTTCTTATCTTTCATGATAGCCTGTAAATAGAGGATCATTTATGAGTTTGATGAGCTATGCAGTCATGCATGTCAGCTTGGTATTCTTGATGCTTGGGAAGGCAGAAACTCTTAAAATGCATGGTCCTTGGGTCAATATTAGATTTTCATGCATGAGGGCTGTTTTCTCTCTGTGGTTATGAAGATTGGTTTTATCCATCCATTTGAGATGTCCTGAAGTATTGGGTTGGCTGATATGTTCTTGCTAGTTTCTAGTTTTGATTTCTTAATCAATTTTATTCCAACAAAGCAAGATTAATCAACAACGTATGTATCATTCATATCTAAAACTTGTCTCCATCTATCAGGCAACTGCATAATTTCTTCTTTGTAGAAGCGAGGGGGCTTAAAAGCAAAAAAGTGTTAGATATAATGTTGGAGTGCATCTCGGTTGTTGAACCGCTTCTCATTCGAATGATTCTGTAGCGACTGGAGCAAGTGGTAATCAGGAGCCAAATCTGGTGAATATGCTGGATGAGAGGCAGCACCTCCCATCTCAGCTCCTCCAATTCTCACTGGTCTTCTTTGCCATGTGTGGTCAGGCATTATCATGCCAAAGTGTAACTTTGTCTTGTCTTGGGCGCTTGATGAGTAGGGCAACCTGCAATCTCTCCAGCTGGCTGCAGTAGAGTGTTGCATCAATGGTGGTATGTGGCTGGGGAAGCAGTTCAAAGTGGATGACTCCTTGGACATTCTATCACACTGAGAGCATCACCTTCCTTGGGTGCAAGTCGGCTTGCTTTCGGCTCTGGTTCTGGCTGTTCATCACAATCAACCCACTGGCACTTCCACATGTGGTTGACGTACAGCACCCACTTCTCATTGCCAGTGATAATGTTCCTCAGGCAGTCGAACCAATGGCTGCATGAGAGAAGAGAGTGACAGGTATCAATGCCCTGGTTGATGTTGTCTTGAGTGAGTTCATGGGGGATCCAACATCCAAATCTCTGCACTTTTTCCATTTCATGGAGATAATGTTCGACAGTGGAATGTACTCAGCCGAGTCTCATTGCCAATTCACGGGTGGATGGCTCAGATCACTTTCAATGAGCTTGCACAATTCATCAGCATTCAGTTCCACTGGACGTCCAAACTTGGGTCAATCTTGCAGTGACGTGTCTCCAGAACAGAATCTGTTGAACCAAAAGGTGCATGTGCGTTGAGGAGCACTGCCCTCACCTAACATAGCACAGATGGTGCAAGCTGCAGCACTGGTGTTGTTGCCCTTTTGAAATTCATACGACATGCAGTGTTGAACATGGTGTTTGTTGCATTCCACTTTCCACTCTAAAATGAAGCCATAAGAGTAGCTCAGACTGTCAATAAAATATTGAACACACCTTGTATTATAACAGTAAATCGGCACGAGCCAACACATTTCACACACACTTCTATAAAGAAACATAAAAGCTAGCAAGAACATATCGGCCAACCCAATATATATGTTTGTCTTTCCCATTCCTCTTTATTTACTAAGCATTTATCATTCATTCTTCACCTTTGTGATGATTGGAATATTTATTTTAAAGATTAACTTGGAATAGTTAAGTAGTATTTGAATTCATCTTTTGCCTTCTTTAGTGAAATTCCAACCACAATTTTTTTTTAAAGAGCCATTTTTGTGTACTTTCTACCTCTTTGCATGATTGATCTCAGCTAAAGTCAGTCTTTTGAACTCATCAACTTAATTTCCCTGTTAATATCTGATTTGAGAACATGCTTTCCTGCTACAAGCTCTAGTCAATTATTCATGTGAGCTTGCCCTATTAATTACCCTGGAAATCTAAATGACTACTGCACTCATATTTGGTAGGATTTTTTATTTCTGCCATTGTGTGTTACATGAAGTGCCCCCATTTTCCAGAGGGAGGCCTATCTTAGAATGGTCTCTCTGCATTCAGAACCTGATGGCATTTATAATTGAGAAATTCTGAACCTACTTTCATCCAGACTATTGTCTGAGAAACCTCAAGGTTTCTCAGACACTTGTCTGGACCTGCAGAGCAGAACTTCTTAGACTATCCATTGACCATGGGGGTGATGGATAGTCTAAGAAGCTCTGCATAAAATGTTGTTCCCAATCAAGGAGATTATACAGAATGCAATGATGACAACTCTCAAAGATCCAACATATATCTCCAGTATATCATTAAAATGCCAAGCACCTAAGAGTATTCGCTAAAAAGAGATTGTAAGGGCTCTAGGCTAGGTTAATAAAGCCATTAACTGGCTTCTTCAAGGGGTGCATGGCCAGGGACCCTAAACAGTTAGTGGTGCCAGTTTATATGGTCTTTTCTGAATATAATAATACTGCAGAAGAAAGGAAGTATTCCACAATCTTAATGCAATCCCAGTTGATGTCCTTCTGAACTCTTCCATCAAATTATTAGTCCTACTGGCCTCATGACTATCTTAAATGACCATGACATAAAAAGAAACCATAAAAAAGAAATTGAGAACCATGCACCATCCATGGAATAGAAGTCTATTACATGTTTCCAAGTAGTAGGTGGAGGATGTTCAACATGGCTAGAAGTGAGGAGGTAGCAGGAAGAGAAAATTCGTCATGGTTAGACATGATGTTCAGATTCTGTTTGGGTAATAAAACCTGAAATTCTGAGTTGTCCCACACTCCCACTGGCTCCATCTAACTTACATCCAGCTATGTATAAAGAAACCAACACCCTCAATCAATTGTCAGTTAAAACATCACTGAGCTCAAAGTCTAAGGATATTAGGGGCATTCTAAGCCTGCATACTTGATAGATGACAGGAAGCTCTTAGCAATTATGAGAAGGGAAGTTCCAAATGTTCCTCCAAGGCTTGATCGTTGATCAAAATATCCTATATTTTGTTTTTTTTAGAAGTGAGAAAACATTTCTTTTTCAGGAAGCTGTCTTTTATGCAAAATGCTTTTGATGCAGAAGATAGAAGATATTCTGTATGGATGGATGGAAAGCAAAGTAATCTATACCTGAACACTCTGGAAATATCTTAAGTTACTATGATATCACATGTTTTACTATGTGTTATGGAATATTGCTGTTCGTGAAGGCTATGTGAGATCTTCAAAAGTGAAATCAATCTGTTTATCATAAATGACAGTCTTAGTAGTATCTTTGTCATCTTCAATGCTTAATCAAAGCTTATATATCTATAATCATACCCTGGGCCATGTGGAGGTTCTGCTATTTATGCCCATTCCAAACATTCTGGATGGCTTGCCAATTCAGATACAATCCTGAAATAAGTAATTGTAATCAAGTAATTTTATCCAAGTTTAAGTAAATGTTCTCATAAAAGCATTAAAAGCATATGCTTTGCCTCAAAATAGAAAAAAGTAAGCCAAGTTTTTAGTGTATTTTGATCCAGTCAGAATTCAAAACTGGAGAATATACATTCTATTTCAACAGTAATCTTCTGCATCAAAGGCTTTTGCATAATGGATACAGCTCTTGCTTCCTTCATGAGCAATTTCATAACAAACATAAAATGGCATATTTTGACCTTAGCATTAAGCCTTGGGGAGGGAAGGGGATAGTTAGAACTTCCATTTCTAACATGGTCAGGAACTTCCTGTCATTTATCTTGTATACAGGATCGGATTGCGACCTATATCCTTGGACTCAGCCCCGTGATGTTATCATAACTGGTGATCAAGAATATCATTCGTTATCTCTATATACCTTGCAAGGTGCAAGTTAGAGCTGGTCAGGGTGCAGTTCAGAGTTTTCTATCTCAGGAGTAAGGTCCTGATTATCAAATGGAAACTGAGCAGCATCATTTCTAACCGTGCTGAATGTCCTCTACCTGCTACCTCCTGTAGTAAACTACCTTGCATGCATTTTTTAATCATAGATATACTGCATGCATGAATTACATGTCAGCTGCATCCTGCATGTTTTTAAATATCTCTTATTACCATAACATAGCAGTTTAGATTTGGGAATAAATATGGAATGATGCACTTCATGAATAATTGCAATGGGCAATAGAGCTTAAAGACTTTTCTAGTTCACATAGTTCATGAGTATTTCACTGTTACCTGAAATGTTACACCAAGCCATCATAGACCCCCGGTTCCCGGATAAGAACATTTCTAGAAGGCGAGAATTCACCCTTTTTCAGGCTGAAAAATGAAAATTGCATTATTTTCACCTTTCCACTGGGGAACTGAGACTTTCATGTGCCAAGTCAAGCATTCCTTAATTCTCATTCTGCAGTCCAAAAAAAGGGCAAGAAAATTTCCCCAGAAAATTTTCGAATGCTGCATTCAAGTTTCGTTTAACTTTTCTGACTCTTCGCATAAGACCCCTTTATAAATATGAGCATTTGAACATTCATCCCAGGAGAGTGGTGCCAGTCGTGAAACTGGTAGTTCTGCAAGACCCCCCTCCGGCCCTGTTGGTGTGGAGAGCATTTCCATTGAAGTGACGAGCCCAGAAGGAGAGATTTCACCTCTAAAACTAAACAGAGCTGAGCAAGAGAAGCATGGAGCTGGAAAGGCTCTCCAGGTTGCCCGTTCCAAGAATCTCAGAGTGGACATTCAGAAAGCCAGGCGGGGCCCTTTTTCAGAAAGGGCGCTTTGTAGCGCTGCATCAGCCACTTCATTCAGTGTGGATGCCCCCATCCCAGAGGCTCAGGATGATGAGGAATCTGCAAGTGAAAATGACCCCCTCATAGCATCAAGAGGAGTTCCTGCATATGTTCGCCGAGCTGTTCTGTAAGCTGCATTTTGCTATGTAAACTTATGTTAGGTCTTTTTTTAAATAGTTATTGGGCTGTGAATAACTGGCAAGAGACAATCTCTTATCCTAATATATATATCAGGTCATCCCATAAGTAATGTCGTTTTTTTCTCTATTTTTCAAAATTAAAATACACCTGCATCGCATCAAGTTTCAATCAAATATATATTCCCCTTCGTTCTGGATGACTCTCTGCCACCTTTCTACAAGCATTTCAATTCCATGTTTATAAAATTCCTTTGACTTTGAAGCAAAAAATGCGAACAGGTCACTTTTGATAGCTTCCAAACTTTCACATTTTTTTCCGTTGAGATAGTTTCGGAATAGGTGGTAATCGGAGGGTGCAATGTCTGGTGAATACGGCGGATGTGGAATTTTTTCTAGGGATGTAACGGTATTATATCGGCATCGGTTATCGGACCGATATTTACTAATCAGATAAATATCGGCACTCCGATATTTTGCTCCGTCGATATTCGATATCTAAGTGCATGACGAACGTCTGCTTCACTCATAAATGCAACGTAACTGCTGACACCATCATCCAGTGATGTTTCTGTCAGTATTTTTACTTATGTAGTCACAGGCCTACCTCATTAACATTAGGCGTCATTAACGCTTCCCTGAATCCAATTGTCATATATCAATACTCTACACCATTTTCGCTGAAGGGAGTCTATTGATATTTGACACCTCTTTGGAGGGAGAGAGACTGTAAATTTAAACGGAATTGGGAGTCGGTACTAGGTCTACAGAAGCAGACACCATGACAGCCATAATAACACTGGGATTCTGCTCCACTTAAGTGATCCTCATGTAAGCCTCTGAAGTAAGATGTACCTAGGTATTTGTTTGTCTTGTGAACATCACGAACATCCCTTCGACACACGGCCTTCGCTTTTCCAGCATCAGGGTTCTGAGATTGCCAGGATAAACGCGATGCATCTATTGCTCTCTTCCCTTAATCCTGTGATTATTCCGATCCTGATTGACTAGAAGAATGAAAGTGTGGCATCCTGAGCAATTGACGTGGCGCTTGCGTTTATATACCAAGAGTGACAAGGAAAGGCCAGCGTAATCTTTGCTCCTGGGAAAACCTTGAATTTTGAAGCTTTCGGGATCAGGATTTTTTTTTCTCTCTCTCTTTAAGCCTGCATGATGATTTAAGCAAATATAGAAACGGAAGAAATACGTTTTCCTCAAGATGTGCACTTGAGATGGAGCCAGGAACAATGAAAAAAGAAGCAAAAGTTCAGTCAAGGTTTGACTTGGCAGGAAAAGAAAACCTTGACGAAAATGCCGCCAAACTGCTGATTCGCGCACAAATCGTTCATCAATGTAAGCATTGGGGGTTTCAAAACCATGTTCCATCTCTCCCTTTTCTCGCCCTTTTACGTCATGACCGGCTAGATATGATCTTACTGGTTGACCAGATGCTGAACACGTCTCCTCCAAGGGTTGGGGGATGAAGCAGAAACTGTTGATCATTAAAAGATGATGTTGATCATTGATCATGAATGGCGTTTCGAAACGTTGGTTCTCGCCCAATTGGACAAGCATGCACAATTGCAGAATGAGAAGGAAAGGGATTTGACAGAAATGGACGAGGGGAGGGTAGCGGGTATGAGGTTGAGGGGGAAAGCAACGATGGTGTGCGTCTTCCGGTTCTGTTTGCAGGCCGAACAAGAACCAATGCACTCCATTTAGTTGTTGGACTGACGTTAGACCTACGTCTAGGCCTACATTACTTCTCATGAAAAAGTATTAGTAAAGCACGCCAAGATGATGTACGGTGCCAAAGGATTAATCTCAGTCATAGTCATAGAAAGATTGAGCTTGGCTAAGATGATGACTCGCAAACGGAACGGTGAGCAGAAGTCGTGGTATGCCATCGGGCATTGGTCCAGATATTTACCTAATTTGCTTACAGAGACCTAAGAAAGAGGAATGAATCAGTTTTTATTAGTATGCTTAGGCCTACATATCTAAATCGGTCCACGATGGGAAAAATTCAACTGCCTAAGATTGCTTAGACCTTTGCCATGACCTGACTGAGGACATGCCTTTGTCCAATCTTTCACGAGATGATGTGAGGAAGGAACCAATCGAAGTTCTTTCTATTGAAAGATTAATGTTCCAATATCAATTATTGTTTATTTACCTTGATTATTTGCACTTTTTAATTGTTGAACTACTGGATTTCTTCCTGGTTTTCAGAAAAATTCCTAATGAGTGCTGACTGGAATACTAAAAAAAATTCCAGTAAATGAACTCTTCTTCAAAATTCTTCAACTTTGAGTACTAAGTGAAACTACACCCTCCAGTGTTATGGAATTGTTTGTAGGAAGCAATAAATCAGAAGGAAAAAAAAAACTTGTTTCCTTGACCTCTTTTTCTTTCTTGGATTCTTGTTTGAATGCTTCATTCAATATTATATTTTTTCCAATATTATCGGTTATCGGCTATCGGAATACAAAATATCGTATTATCGGAAAATTCTAATATCGTTACAGCCCTAATTTTTTCCCAACCCAGCTCTTCGATTTTGGCTCACGTGATCCGAACGGTATGAGGACGCGCGTTGTCCTGATGAAACAAAACACCCTTGCGATTGGCCAATGAAGGACGTTTTTCTTGCAATGCAGCGCTCAAACTTTTGAGCTGCCGGCAGTATACCTCCGCTGTTATGGTTTCATTGGGCTGCAACAGTTCAAAATAAAAACGCCAAGAATATCCCACCAAACGCACAGCAAAACCTTCCTGGGGTGAAGACCTCTTCTTGCCTGTGGTACAGCAGGTTCCCCGGCACTAGCCCACTGTCGACGATGCTTAACATTGTGATAAAGCACCCATTTTTCATCCCCAGTAATGAGTCGATTCAAAAACGGCGCTTGAAGTGCACGAGAGTGTAGGGAAGAGCAAATGTTTACTCGATCCTTAAGATTGTCTGATGACAACACATGTGGAACCCACTTTCCAAGTTTTGACACTTTTCCTAGCCGTCGCAAGTGGCGGTGAACGGTGGAATGGGTGGAATTGAGCTTCTGAGCAAGTTCTTCAACAGTTACAGCAGGATCTTCATCAAGTGTAGCCACCAGCAGTTCATCATCAAACTCAATAGGTCGGCCTGAACGTGCTTCATCAGTTAAGCTGTAGTCACCAGACCTGAATTTCTGGAACCACCTTTGGCATTTCCTCGTATTCAGAGCTTCCTCACCATAAACATCTCGAATGTTTTTCGTGGCTGCAGTCGCGTTATTCCCTTTCTTAAATTCATAAAGCATTATATGCCTAATGTGTTCTTCTGACACCTCCATCTTGTCTTTAGTGTCCAAGAAAAACGGAGCACTGTT